GCATAGTATAGTATAGGATAGGATAAATAAACTTCAGAGCTTTGTTGTCGTTCTATAAATCCGTTAAAACACAGATAGTAGATTGAAGTTCAGATGAAGTTTTATGCTTCCAGTTACAAGTTCAGATTTCTGGAGGAGTTCAAGCTTGTTTTGTCACGTTAGAGCATTAGGTTTTGCTTTAACAATAATGTCAGTGAGGCACAGCCTGATCTTCGGACTAAACAAGAAAAGCTGCAGCCATTTGCTATTCAGCTTAAATWTGGTAACATTTTAAACTGAAATGAAAAAGAAAGAACAGGCAAACATTTATTCCCCATGTCCCAGCCAAGCCCTCCTCGAAAGACCCTCCATGCAGAACAGAAGAATATCTAAAGAACCACGGTTCCTCTGTGATTTAAGTTTCTCTGTAAATTCAATGATGTTGTAGAATACACTTTTTTTTTTACATGAGAGACATTTGGAATCAGATTGTTCCCATATTGAAGGACCACCCACGGGTGYAGTTTTATTTTCCTGGCATCTAACACTAAAGACGGAAACATTAAATGTCTGCCAAATTAAGCCCCATTAAGCACGTAGTTCACGACTGTGTGTATTTACAGTCTGCCATTTGTGCTCATGACAGCAACAGTTCATTACCTTTTAACGAGCTAACGGTGGGCATCCAGTGTGCGATATTGATCTCTTCTTCAATAAAATGGTAACTACAATCGTGACATTTAGTTGGACAGAAATCAGTAGACGTCTCGACCCATTTGGTGAGCACACCTGTTAGTGAGAGCCTCTTGCAACCTCTGGCTACCGAAAGCAGACTGTTCTGCACATCTGAGATGTTTTTGTTCTAACTTGTCATACAAACTGAAAACACTGCTTTGTTACAACTTGCTAAAACATAAAATGAGGGACGTGTGAAAATGTTTGTGACTGTCTTTGCTGTCCTGGCTGCAGTCAGTTTCTTTTTCCTTTGGGAATATTTAATTTATTGTAAGAGGAAGAATGTAGAACATGGAAAACCAAATGCATTAATGTCACATCTAGTTTCAAATCACATTTTTTTTGAAAAAAAAAATCACTGGATCGTTCTGTCAATTTTTTCTGACTTTCAGACTTTATATGTCTTAGTTGGTCAGCTGAAGTACCAGGTCATTGCAGCATTACTCCATGAAATTTTACTACAAATAGCTGTTTATTTAGGAGTGTACATCCTGACTTTTAATCGTTTTAAACAAGCTGGCTTACAATTGGTCCCTGTAGATCACACTAATACAATTTTGGTAAATTATTTTAAATTACAATCACACACCCAGAATCATACCAGTGGTCTAGTACATCTATATTTATGGGGACATCCTGACCCTTTACCCTAAACKTAAACTCACAGGTACATACCTGACCCTATATAGAACCTAAACTCAATTAGTCCTAAAACTAACCCTGACCCACCAATGGCATTTCATGAGGACTAGGCTTAGGTCCCCATAAGTACCAGTTGGTCCCCACACATTTATTTATTCTTTTTTACATTCATTTTTTATCTAAACCTTTTCTCACCAGGCAAAGCATTAAGAACAGTTTGTTTTTTACAATGTTGGTCTTATTTACACGTAGGGGTGTATGCCAAGAATGGCCTCAACATTGTAGGGAATTCCCACCGTAATACACACACACACACACACACACACACACACACACACACACA